GGCGCGGCCGCCCTCCGTGGCGACGGCGTGTGCCCGGGTTGGACGCCGCGCAGGCCGGCCTCCGGTGCAACTGTGTGTGTCCGGGTGAGACGCCGCGCAGGCCGGCCTCCGGCATGTGTGCCCAGGTGAGCAGCCGCGCAGGCCAGCCTCCGGGCACTGCCGCTGAGCAGCATCTATGTGAGCTTGTCTGTCACGGGCATGTTATTCCTAATCTGTCATTGGGAAACATTTCAAAGAAAAAGAGTCTAGTCTTTTCCAGGGGGCGGTCCAGGTCGAGTTGGGAGGCAGACCTGGTCTTTTTAAGGGGGCGGTCCAGGTCGAGTTGGAAGGCAGAGCCTAAGTCGTTAGCAATAAGTCAGAGATACAGTGGGTTTAGTGCTGCTCGTGTGTGCGGGATGGTTCAGAGTCAAGTGGCAGAGACAAACGGGCCAGGGTTGGACTCAGAAGCAGACCAGGATGGGTTTGTCAGGGGACGTGAGAAACAGACCATTCTCCCAGGACGGCAGGAATACAGGGGAGCCTCTTAGAGCACTAGGTCAGGTAAACCACCTGGGGCGGCTGAGAAATAAAAAAAGCTATTGACTTTTCTGTATGTTTAAAAAGCAAACTGTGTGGAGACCAGCAGATGGTAATGGTTATGTCTCTGGACTCCCATGTAGTTCAAGTCCTGGACCCAGCAGCTTAAAACTCAGACTGGGCATGTGTGCACGCATGCCCAGAATCCTAAAAGGAAACGAGGCGGGGCTGTGTTGTGGCCATCCCCCCGGGGGTGATTTCTCACTTTCCCTCTCACTGTCTCTTTCTCTGGCAATTGTACATGTCCTATGTCAAAAACCTTAGAAAAGAAAAGAAAGAAAGAAGAAAAACCAGAACTTATCTTTTCTTAATAAAGGTGGGTGTGTCTAGGTAGGTATGCCATTCACCTGCTCCCACCAGCTCAAAATGGGTAGACATTTCAAAAAAATGTAAATTTACTTATTTATTTATTTATTTTTTAATTTTTTTGCCAGAGGGCACATGTGCTCACGAGAGAGAGAAAGATAGGGACAGAGCACCCCCAGTGGGCCATGGTCACACCTCACTCCTTTTCGGTCCTCCCAGGGTTTGGGGCACTTAGGCATACACACCCGGTGTTCTTCAAGCTGCTATGACTGGGATTCAAACCATGGTCAGCCTTGTGGGATCTGGCTCCCAATGCACAGTGCTTAACCACTGACTTGGAAGTCAGCCAATAAGGATGATTAGTATCCTCTGAAAAGAAATTAAATATTGTACATTCAGGATCAAGGTTTCTCTCACTAGTTCACGATCAATGGTGGGTGAGGGAGAGGGAAGCATTTCAAAATGACCATGGGACCTCTCCAGACCCAAAGGCCTGCCCGCGTTTAGGGAAGGGGGGTTGGTGGGGACAATGGTGTATATCATTTGGAAAATCTCACAGGTAATTTAGGTTGAAACTCATCGACTTAAAGGGAACAATTCATTGAATTTCCTTCAAACTACAGTTTTAGTGACTGAGGTCTTCCGTTTGATTCCCTTGGACTAGGTCTGTAGCTATAGGTAACGCCCAGAACAAGGAGGGGGATTTTCACAGGGGTTGATGTACACGCAGGTGAGACTCGGGCCCGGCTCCTCTCGGCACCATTGACCCGGTGGAATAAATGGCAGAGTGGTTTGGAAATCGTGATTGTTTCAACAGCTTGGCTTTTCAGGAGATTGGAAAATATGTTATGAAACCGTCTGGAACAGGGAACCGGCTGTGACTCACTGAGCCAGTCACGGAAGCCAGCCTGCGGAGGAGTGAGTGTGTGGGTTGGGCTGCTGGTTGTGTAGGCACGGGTCTCTGAGACATGGTCGCCTGCCACGACGGCTCCACTGTGCCATGGACACCGCAGACCCGTGACTGCAGTGCATGCAGCGGCGAGGCGTGCCCCGCAGTTCTGGCTGAGAGCGCCGGGACTGCTGTACCTGAGCCCCCATGGAGGGACGCTGTTGAAACGTGACATTTCGGGGGCGTGTCGGCAAGCTTCTAGTGCACGCTGTTGGGTGAAAATTTGGACTCTCAGGAGGCCGTTGATGAAGGAAGCAGGAAAAGATTGGAAGCTGGTTAAAGAATATTTGTTACGTATTTTCTGAAAGCTTTGGATACCGTGGCCTGCGGTGATGGGAAGGTCGGCGGTGTTCTGATGCAGAGTGACCGAGCTCAGGCAGAATCCGCCACCGGTGTGGAAAGTGCTCCTGCTTACGGTGCAACGTGAGAGAAGAGAGAGAACTCCAAGAACGAACTCCAAAATGGAGTCAGGGTGTTTGATTTTGAACGTTCTCAGCCTCTTCAGAAAAAAGTGGAAAATGACATTAAAATCAAGACATGGTTTCTCAACACTATCAAATCTCTGAGCATGGGCTAAGATGAAGCTAATAAGACGACTGTGAAATAATTTTTACAACCCCAGAAAGGCTGCGTGGTTTCTCAGAATATTCAGTCTGAAAAAAAATGTTTAAGCCCCTCTAAAGATAATTTATAGATTATACAAGTTAACAAATATTCTAGGAGAAGTGGCACTTGAAAATTTTTAGTGTTGTTCTTATGTTTTGTTTGTTTTGACTTGTTTTGTAAAGTTTTTGCCATAAGGCACACGTACTCACTGGAGAGGAGACAGACAGGAAGAGGGAAAGTGAGAAATCACCCCCAGGCAGGATGGCCACTGCAGTCCCTTCTCATTCTCCTCCTGGGATTTTGGGCAGCCACACCCACACACCTGACATGATTTTCAAGCTACCAGGACTGGGATTTGAACCTTAGTCAGTCACGTGGCAGTCCAACACCTTAACCACCATGCTACCAGTTAGCCCCTGTTGTTTTGTTTCATATTGTTTTTAGGTTTAGCTGTCTCTTCCATGAGAGAGAAAGAAGAGAGAATGAAGAACAGCTCTAGCAGGGTCTTCACGCGGTGACTCACCCCACACCCCGCCAACCTGGATCCTGCCTGGGGCACGCACATGAGCACCGACATGCCCAGGGTGGCCCCAGGACACGAACCTGGGACCTTCCTGTGTGGGACCAGCCTTATAGAGCACTGTCTTACGGCTGTACCACCATGACTGGCCCTTATTTTTCTTTTTTAGTGAAAAATAATTTTTAAAACTTTTTTATTAGAAACTTGAATAAGAGTTAAAAATAAGAATTTGAAACCAATGAAAGGAGGCAAGACCATGAGGAGAATTTAGAGCCCACAAATGACTAAGAACTATGTCCACTGTGGAGTTGTCCCAGAGGGTGAAGAGTGGCTTTGAGTCCTGGAGATGACCTGAAACCTCATGTTTGTGTGATTGTGTGACTTTATCTACACTCAGGGTTGCGAGGGTTAGCCGAGGTGATGCATGTAAAAGTGCTTGAAATCCATAAGGCTTTGTATACATGTGACTAAAATAAATAGATCACAGTCTGTTTTTTTAAATCATAGGAATGGTATTAAGCAAGTCATAAGTTTATTAAATAAGAGATCAGACAGGCAGAGGTGAAATTGTCATTTTCAGTCGAAAGAAGGATTTCACTAATTACTGTGTTATATGGAAAAAAGTTTAACGGTTGATTATCAATGTCTTTTTCAGTTTAAGTAAGTAATCAAACTGAATGTCCCTATCTGCCCTATCTGATTTAGGAACGGTTGATACTCCATCTCTGCAAGAAAGAATACAAGCCAGACCTGATCCTGAAGAGGTATACCTGACTTTCTTAATGTGTTCAGACTGTTTGGTTTAAGAAATGCTCTCTTCCTAATGCAGAGTAGACCGATTCATTGAGACAGAAAGTAGAATGGTGACTGGGTCCCCCAGGGACTGGGTCCGAGGGGGATGGAGAGTTGTTGTTTAAATACAGTTCCGTCTTCACCAAAGAAGACCCTCTGGAGCTGGGTGGTGGTGGTACACAGTGTGAACTCCCCCCACACTACCAAATGGTTAAGATGGTAGTCTTATTTTAAAGAGGTTTTTCCTTAGGATGCGTGTGTTCACCAAACACAGATAGACAGTGAGAGGGAAAGTGAGAAACCACCCCCTGGGAGGATGGCCATGCCACAATCCCTTCTCTGTTCTCCCAGGATCTTGGGTACACATGCCCAGCATGATTTTCAAGCCACCAGGTCCAGGACTCAAACTGCGGTTGGCCTTGTGGGAGTCCAGGAACGTAACCACTATACCACCTGCTGGCCCCAAGATGGTAGATTTTATGTCGTGTTTTACCACAATTTATAAAAATGAATTTTTAAAATGCCCTCTTTTGTTTAAAATTTTTATAGTCTATGTTTATTTCATGAGAATGAGAGACAGAGAGAGGGAGGGACAGAGACGGACACCCTGACAGTGTTACCATGAGTCCCGGCATGTACAGGTTAACCAGGGAACCAAACCCATGATCTTCCCTGGGGATCCAGCCTTGTTTGAGCAGCATGTAATCACTGTGCCACCAAGGAGGCTCCCAAAATGCCCTCTCCTTTTTTCTTAAAGAGTTATTTATTATCAACATTTTTCAATTTTGACTAGAGAGGACAGAGAGAGAGCAAGCTCCCAGGTCCTGGACTCGAACCACAGTCAGCCACATGAGAGTCTAGCACCTTTAACCACCACCACCTGCCGCCCCCCCTTGTTGAATGCCAGCTCTCTGAGCTGTCACAGGTCTGTGGCTTCAGCGCAGGGTGAGCTCTCCACAGCCCTGGGCCCCTGAAGGCGGTACAGGTGAGCCCACAGCGTCGGCCACGGCTCTGATGTCTGGTCTGGTCTCTGGTCCCAGGCACTGAACGACTTCCTGAAGAGACAGAAGACGGGGAGGTTTGCGACAGCGGAAGAAATAGCCCTGCTCTGCGTGTATCTGGCTTCGGACGAGGTAGGTGCTGTCCTTCCAGGAGCTCGTTACGGTCGCCTGGGGCCGTCCCTGCTCATCCAGGCAATGCCATTTCAGAGCGTGTGCCGCAGCGCTGCGTTCAGGGCAAGGGATGGCGTCCGCTGCAACCTCTCAAGGCCCACTGCGACCTGAGCCGCTCACTCTTCTTCACTCACCTTTGCATTTCACAAAATCTTGAGCCAAATGAAATGAAGGACTGAAAAAAAGTGAAGTACCCAATTTTCTGAGACCATTGATTTTTTTTTTTTTTTTTTGAGAGAGAGACAGAAAGTGACAAATCCTCTCCCCAACCAGGGGGACAGCCACACCGCAATCCCTTCTCCTCCATTCTCCCCTCAGGATCTTGGACACACAACACACATTCCCAGAGTGAGTTTTAAGCCACCAGTCCAGGACTCAAGCCATGGTTGATTACGTGGGAGTCTAGTGACATAACCATTACACCACCTGCTGGTCCCGAGACCATCACTTTTAAAAATTATCACTGGAGAACCAGCCAGTGACGTGGTGGTTGAGGTGGCTGGATCCCACGTGGCCAACTGTGTGGTTTGAGTCTCAGACCTAGTGGCCTGAAAAAGAGGCTGAGCGTGTGTGCGTGCGTGCCCAAAAATCCAAGAGGAGGAAGAAATCCAGAAGGGACTGCAGCATGACCATCTCCCGGGAGGGGTGCTTTCTCACCTTCCCTCTCTAGTTCTCTCTGTCTCTCTGGCAAGCACATATGCCCTCTGGCAAAATAAAAATAAATAAATGAATTTAATAATTGGAGGAGCCCTGATTCGATGTGAGCCAGACAAGTGAACCCACAGAAGTGAGCAGAGGGTTAACCAGATGTTCGTACGTCTAGAGGATGCAGAATCGGCATGTGATGTTCTTAGTTTTACTGGTGACTTATTTGGGACAGTTCCAAGGGCTCATTTTTCCTATTCATTCTTTGTCATCATGTATACATTTTTTCCTTCTCTCTCTTCCACTTTTGTATCTGCTTACAAACCAGTTTCTCTCTTAATGACTATTGTGTGGTGTGTATATGTACACACACTTTTTTTGCCTTAGGGAGCATGTATGCGGTTGCTGGAGAGAGACAGAGACAGTTAGAGGTCAAGTGGGAAATCACCCCTACTGGGGGATGACCACACTGCAGTTCCTTCTCCTCCATTCTCCTCCCAGGATCTTCGGCACTCCTGCATACACACCCAATGTGAGTTTGAAGTCACCAGGTCCAGGACTCGAACCATGGTCTGCCATGTGGGAGTCCAGTGACATAACCACTACACCATCTGCTGGCCCCACTGTTGTGTGTTTTTAAATAGCATACAGCAGAGAAAGCAGGGACTGTCGGTAAGGTATAGAATGCAAGAACATCCCTGTGTCATCTGTGAATATGACAGACAGGGAGCACAATGTCTGGGAAGAGAGGAAGGGATGTGGATGGGAGTGGGGAGGTTTTCCTGACCACCTGGCTCCTCTTTAAGTAATATGATGCACACCAGGTGGCTGGTGAATGTGTCAAATACAGAGAGGAAATACGGTATCGTCAGAAAGGTCATGATATATTTTTTTCAAATGCAAAAATGCGTCATGACTTTTCCAACGACCCAATATTTTCAGACAAAGCAGTTACTTCTCAGAACTATTAACAACAGTGGTTAGTAGCTGGGGAACTTGCCTGACAAATTATTAATGAAGCGGGCAGGTTAGCCTTTGTGATTCCTCTGAGTCTTAACTCAGGACGACATTCGATTTGAGGGTCTGCCAGTAAACCAGACGACCCGTGTTTAGCCAGAGCTTAGGTTACCAAATATTTGAAAACTTTCTAGCTGGAAATGGTACAACAAAAGGACCTTTGCCTTCTTAGAGGAGTTGATTTGTAGAACACTTGCCTTTTTTTTGGGGAGAGGTTTTTTGCTATAGGGCATGTGCACTCACCAGACAGACAGAGAGAGACAGAAAGCGAGAAATCACCACTCAGGGGGGATGGCCACGCCGCAATCCCTTCTCCCCCATTCTTCTCTTGGGATCTTGGGCACGCACATACACACAACCGGCGTGAGTTTTAAGCCACTGGGTCCGGGACGCGAACCGCGGTTGACTATGTGGGAGTCCAGCGACATAGCCATTACGCTAACTGCTGGTCCCCCCAGAACACTTGCCTTTTAAAAAAGAACTTCAGGAGGCCAGCAGGTGACATGGAGGTTAAGATACTGGATCCCACATGGCTGAACTGCATGGTTCAAGTCCCCACCTGTTGGCTTGAAAAATCATGCCAGGTGCATATGTGTGCATGCCCAAAATCCCAAGAGGAGAGTGGAGGAGAAGGGATTGCATCAGGACCATTACCCTGGGGGGTAATTGCTCATTTTCCCTCTCTGTCTTCAGTGAGCATACATGCCCTATAGCAAAACTGAAAAAATTAAAAATAAAATAACTTGGGAAAGTTTGGGTCATTTCTAGGTGAAGTATGTAACTACCTCCTAGGTTATCGAGTTTATATGTCAGCTTTCATATACTGAACTTTTTTTTTTTTTTGGAGAGGTTTTTGCTATAGGGCACATGTGCTCGCCAGACAGACAGAGAGAGACAGAGAGACAGAAAGAGAGAAATCACCCCCCAGGGGGGGATGGCCACGCCGCAATCCCTTCTCCATTCTCCTCTCGGGATCTTGGGCATGCATGCACACGTGCCAGGCATGAGTTTAAGCCACAGGGTCCGGGACTCGAACCATGGTCGACTACATGGGAGTCCAGTGACATAGCCATTACGCTAACTGCTGGTCCCCATATACTGAACTTTTCACATTCTTGTACTCCTACCACGATGTCTGTCCTTCCTCCCTATTCAGTTGTTTCAGACTTTAGGTTAATTTAAAGCCAAGAACACGAATTTGAGTCTTTATTATGAGTCTTTATTATCTATTTTAAGTTGATGAAAAAAATCTTAAACTTCTACCAAAAAGATTGCTTCAGCTTTCATTTTTTAGAAAATCATAAGTGTGTAGAAATAAACCAGTCCTTTAAAAAAAAAAACATTTAGTTTTATGTAGATTTGGATGATTGAAAGTAGCATATTTTTTCATAGTTTAATAAATTATTACTATTCATGTAAATTTTAAAAACACATTTAGCATGCTTCAGCACTCGGGATTACCTGCGTATTTTGTTAGGAAGGCAGGCCTTTCCTGAACACAACCAAATATATGGTCTCTTCTATTATTTTTAATTCTACGTGACCATTAACATGACCTCTTTAAGACTGGACACACTTAGTTTCCAAAGCATGTTAGTCACATAAAACTCAGGTCCTGGATAGTTCTGCGTTTCCAAGCGACACTGCTGCCGTAGCCTGTACTTACCCCACGTGGGAACGGCTCCGTGCTGCCACGCCTTCATTTTGTGATTCTCACACCAGAGGCCGAATGTGCGCGTGCCCAGGTGTCAGCCAGAAGCTGTTTAGTTCCAGAGGTCAGAAGCATTCCGCAGTTATAAATCATCTGAACCTTAGTCTGGATTTTCCTAAATTCATTTTTTTTCAAATTACTTTTTAAATTTTATTATTATTATCATTTAAATTTGACCAGAGAGAGAGAGAGAAAGAGAAAGCAAACTGCCAGGTCCAGGGCTTGAACTGTGGTCAGCCATGTGGGAGTCCAGTGCCTTAACTACCACACCACCTGCTGGCCCCCCAAATTGTTTTTAAGTGTGATTTTCTACTATCACAAAAAAAAAAATTGTTCAGTTATCATAGTCAGTGAAAAAAATGTCAAAACGTAGGCTGTGTCAAACCTGGTTGACGGTGGTGTTCTGTGTTTGTCACAGTCTGCCTACATCACAGGTAACCCTGTCGTCATCGACGGAGGCTGGAGTTTGTGACTTCGAAGCTCCTCAGTGGGAAGGAAGGCAGGCCTTTCCTGAACACAGTCAACCTGATTATGAAGAACTCATCAGTTATCTCTTTCTGATTAATGACATATTCATGAAAACAAGTCCTGTTTCATAATGTCACTGTTTGCAAGACTCTGACTCTTTAAATGTTTTCGTCTACTGTGGTCAGCCATGTGGGAGTCCAGTGCCTTAACTACCACACCACCTGCTGGCCCCCCAAATTGTTTTTAAGTGTGATTTTCTACTATCACAAAAAAAAAAATTGTTCAGTTATCATAGTCAGTGAAAAAAATGTCAAAACGTAGGCTGTGTCAAACCTGGTTGACGGTGGTGTTCTGTGTTTGTCACAGTCTGCCTACATCACAGGTAACCCTGTCGTCATCGACGGAGGCTGGAGTTTGTGACTTCGAAGCTCCTCAGTGGGAAGGAAGGCAGGCCTTTCCTGAACACAGTCAACCTGATTATGAAGAACTCATCAGTTATCTCTTTCTGATTAATGACATATTCATGAAAACAAGTCCTGTTTCATAATGTCACTGTTTGCAAGACTCTGACTCTTTAAATGTTTTCGTCTCTTTCTGATGTCTTCCGAAATCATTGTCAACAAATGAAATAAAAAATACTGAAATCGCTGCGAATCATTTCGAAAATAAACTTCAGTTTGGAAACATCTGTCTTAGACAAGGGGGAGGCTGCTCCTTGGCAGGTTAAGGCCACGTGAGAGACCCAGGCGTGGTTGCTGGCCCTGCTAAGCCGGTACAGTGGTGTGACCGTCTGTAGTCCAAGCTACTTAGGAGACTGAGTCAGGAACATTGGGACCCTTATTGGGAAGGAAAGGGAAGGAAAGGGAAGGGAGCTTCTCACCTTAATGTATAAGTAAACTTGTGGATGATAATTCTACAACATTGTTAGGGAGAAGTTCTTTTAATTTTCGGGTTTCATGTTTGTGCTCTTATCTGTTGCGACCTCAGAAGACCAAATGATAGGATGCACGTTGAGCTACCCAATAGAGGAACAGATATTCTTACCTTTTTTTCCTATAAAATAGGTATTAACAAGGGAAATTTTGAAAGGGACAACCAAAAGGCAACATTTTATATGTGCGGAAGCATGTTGTGCAAATGATGAAGGGAAGTTAAAGTTCCCACCAAAGGCTATTTTGACTAGCATTCCAGAAGAGTCCATTATAGTAAGATTTGTTTTGCGATTCTAAATCAGTTCTTCCACTACTGCATCGGAAATAGTTCAGTTTGGGCCCTAGACCAACCCACCCGACTTGCCCTGGACTTTAGTTTTCTGTAAAACTAGGACGCTGCTTTCTTTCGGCATGTCATCATTAAGATGCTGTAACTTATCCAGGGAATTAATGGGACACTGAAATGTGCAAGTCTGTCATGGAATCCGTTATGCCGTGAGCGGATTCGCGCTAGAACAAATGACTTCTGTGAACACCGTGAATCCTCCAAAGTGGAGTCTGACCTTAGATGCCTCCTGGCCTCGCTACCCCAAAACCTGTACCACAAAAACGGTATAGCAGCAAGGGTGAAGAAGAATCCAGCCAGAAAACTGGGTGTGCCCGAATTTTCCACTTCGGTCGGGTGGTGGATGCACCCATGGAGATCATATGACTGGAATGAAGGAAAAGTCTCTCTCACTCTTGTGCTTAGAGGAACCGGATGTCCCTGGGAGTTCTCCCAGCTCCAGGGCGGGAAGGTGTTCAGGCGGACGCCGACGCTTGGATGCTCTGATCAACGGTATTGGGTGCAGCTGGTTCACCTCCAAGGAGGCCCTGAGGGAGAAGGGGGGTGTCTGGGGTGCAGACAGCGGCTTTCCCGCGCGCAGCTGGAGGAGTGGAGAGCAGGTGAGGGGTCCGCGCCGGGAGCACGCGCATGCGCACGCGTGCAAATGCGCACACGCGCGGGGGCGGAAAACGAAGGGAGACGCGAAAATGGAAGTGAGAATGAAATGAGAAAGAACCGACCGCTGGCGGAAGGGTTCAAATCCGTCCCTTCACAAGGAGGGCACCTGTGGACGGGGGAAGAAGGACTTTCGCGGAGGGGACGGGAAGGCAGCGGCGG